ACCGTGTAAATGCTAATGTTGAAAGATGAAGCATTACTCCTAGCATGGCAAGAAAATATATGCATTATTTATTGAAATTCAACAAAACACATTAAGATCTTTTGCACATTTGAAAAAAAAAACAAAAAAAACATTTTAGTGCTTCTTTATACAAGGCTACAAGAATTTTTTTTTTTTTTTCATTTGGGCTTTGACAGTGACTTATGTTCAAGGATAAAATGAACTTTTTACTGTGGAAGTCAAAGCTCAAATTTTAAAATACCACCATACCTTATTTAACTGTTCCAGTTGGTCGCTGGAAAGTACTGAGAAATTCTAGTTGTGTTGCTTTTAATTTAACTGTTATCATCAGATTGTATGCACAATGAGAAAAAGATTTTTTTAGGCTAGAGTTGGTGAAAAAAATTGATCCTAAAAAAGATTGCATATGCAAAGAGGTGCAAACTTGATAGCACGTGCAAAGCTGATTCTTACAAGTGCAATTCCAATTCTGTGTATAGATGAGTGAAACGGCAAAGTAAAACTTTGTAGCACATTTTTCTTTAAATATGAGGTGGAACATGGCATCTTATTGATTACCAAAATATGCAGCGTACTGGGAGGGAACATATACATATGTAATTGCCAAACAGCTGGCATGTGATTTAAAGGTATAGTGGAGGATTTTTGCAAACTTTTGAAAAAAAAAAAGCATGTGCCCAACCATGTACCCGCTCCTGAGGGGGAACACCTATAAGACAATTGTGAGAGCATACACAAGCCCATTTCTCCTCGTGCATGTTCTGTGTTTAAAGCTGCTGTTTACATCGCTCATACAGTGTATAAGGGTCAGGCAAGAGATTTTTTTTTTTTTCTATTTCGAGAATAAAGTCGTAACATTACGAGAATAAAGTGATAAAATTACTACAATAAAGTAGTTAAAATTATGAGAATAAAGTCGTAAAATTATGAGAATAAAGTCGTAAAATTATGAGAATAAAGTCGAACAATTATGAGAAAAATGTTGTAATATTACGAGAAAAAAAGCCACAATGACAATATTCATAAATTATGAGAATAAAGTCGTAACATTACGAGAATAAAGTCGTAAAATTAAGAGAATAAAGTCGTAACATTACGAGAATAAAGTCGAAAAATTATGAGAATAAAGTCATAACATTACAAGAAAAAAGTCACAAGGAGAATAATCATCAAATTACAAGAATAAAGTTGTAATATTTTGCGAATAAAGTCCTAAAGTTGTATTTATGACAACTCCTACAAAACAAAAGGGTTGTTGTATGATTACATTATTCTCGTAATGTTACGACTTTCATAATTTTACGACTTTATTCTCGAAATGAATAAATCTCTAGCCTGGCCCTAATACTCCGTTGTACATAGCAGCTTACTTTCCAAAAGAAGATTTTTCCCCTATATCTTCTCTCCATCAGTAAGTGAAAACGGGGATGAGCACGTAGGACGGTCTTACAGTACGTAAACATATCACCAGAATGATTGACAATTAGGAGGACCACTTATTTTGATGATTCACCCGGAAAAAAAACATCCTCCACTATACCTTTAATGAACCTAAGACAAACTGGTCAATAGTTTATCTGTCTATATTCAGCACATTTTAAAATCTCTGTAAAAAGCATCGTTCTGTTAAATCAAATTATTCTGAGCCTATGTTGGTTTGCATTATTTTTGGTTAACGAGGCTGTATAGTTAAATCCAGCTGTTTGAATATGGCTTAACCAGTCAGTGGCTACTTTCCAGGCTATCTGTCTGATGACTGCTGGTGGAGCTGCCACAGTCAGCTCTTCCAGCTTATATTACTGATATTTCATCTTTAAAATTTCGTTATTTTAACCTTTTTTAATATGTTGTACTGTTGCTTGTATTAGTGAATATATAAGGTGCATTTTAAACACTATCCATAAACATAATTATATAAAACTTCCTTTTTCCTTTTACTGCTGACAGCAAAAGCAAAATCTTTATCTAAATATAGTGGTACAAACGCCCCTTTTCACCTGTTATCATTTACTCATCTTCAACCTTCAACATGGCAACTACATTTTTACATTTTGGATTTTGCACAAGCAGTTGGTGCAAAATCAGGCTCTATGAGCCCGATTGAGTGCAAATGAAACAAACTATTCGGTATCTTTTTTGTTCTAAGCGAGTAGAACTGCTTGGGAAAAAGATAAAATAAACATGTTTTAATCAAAAAAGGTTTTGAGAATAACTTCACATTCTTTTCAGATGGTGTTTTTAATCATACTTTGGATTTCTTTTTCAATTTTTATTCTTTCAAATTTTTCTATGATTAGTTTCCTTACAGATTAGTAATTTCTGTTTTTCCATTTTCATTTTACAAATTGCATTTTAACTCCATGCAGAACGACCCTGGAAATTAAACCCATGACCTTTTTCTTGCAACATACAGGAAGAAGGCCCTGCTCAAAAAATGGGATCCATAAAATAAATTTGAAAAGAAGGCAGTTTGTAAATCTGAAACTACAGGATAAAAAAAAAAGAAAATTGCATATCTAAATTAAAATCTTAAAAGTAAAGCTTGAAAAACTCAAAGCATAAAAATATAAAATGTGTGAAATAATGGGGAAAACAATCAATAATAAAATTGTAATAAAATGAATTTTAAATAATCTAAGAGAAAAGCAAGGTTACTCCCAAAACCTTTTTGCTTGCAACAATAATGGATCAAAATTCACTCTATATAAAAACATTGCTGACATCATCCCACGATAGCATAGTTGTCAATAATATTTTCTGCAGATCTACCTCAGCCTCTGCTTGGTTTAGAAAACAAAAACAAGAAAAAAAGCGATTCTAGTCTGTTTACCTTTTTAGAAATAATGCATAACAAATTTAAATCTTGGTGGAAAATCTTGTGCAAACATTAATACTGAAGGCACTCATACAGGAACATTTCAAATACAATTATCTATCAGGACATTCATGACAATGTTAACAGAGTGCAGGTACCGCTAAAGCTACATCAATATTTTTTTGCATAGTACCAGGAAACCATTGGAAGTTCATTTCAGTGCAGTACATCATGTTACAGTGCTTTCCAGATGTTAATCACAGCTGCTAGACTTCACTTTACATTACAGCCACAAAAAGCTAAAGAGGGAAACGTTTCTAAGGTAAGTTAAAAAATAAAAATATGAACATTGTGGCAGAGTTGTGTACTCAGCATTACTAAGTAAATACACTGGGAAAAATGTTAATCTAAATAAGTTATTTTTCTCAAAAAAAAAGGACATTGTCTCGAAATGAAGAAGGAAAAAAAAACTTGCCAAGGAAAAAAAAACAATTAAAATTAAAAAAAAAAAAAAATAATTGCATTATCCTATTTCAAGTGCATATGATCTAATTAAGTGCTAAGTACTCATTCAATTGGCAAATCATCTTATGTACCTACTCAAATTCAGAGTAAATACACCTGATTCAAGAAATTTGGACTTATTCTAATATAAATTTTGCAGAATACTTGTAGGTTTGTAGGTATTTCCTCTCTTCACCAGTTTTAAACATCAAGAGACTGATGTTTCTGCCCAATCAAAAGCTTGGCACGTTAGGAGAGCTTTTATAAACAAGCTTTCAAGATTCTACTTTTTTTGCATCTTTACCAGCCAATATTTTTATCTAATTTGGGGCTTTTTCTGTATCTTTGGAGCTCTTGGCCTAAGGTCTTCTATGGCTTCAAATAGGTCGTCTAACGTGACTGATTGAGCATCCACCTACATGATGCTTCCACCGACATGTGGTGCATAAGGAAAGGTTGCTGTTATTCCTTGACACAAAGTCGAAAGTTTACACATGATCTGTCAAACAGAACACCTTCTTTTACTGTTGCCTCCTTCTTTTAAGCTTGTGGGAAGCTATAAAAGCTATAAAAGTTTCTTTTTTATGTTTTATTTCATCATTTGCTGTTATGTGAAGCATAGGACTACCAGATTCTGCAGCAAATCTTTGCAGCTCCTCCAGAATCGACTCTTTAATGGTTCTATTAGATTGACTGGTCATGTCTTTATATGTTACAGATGTGTCATAGTACATTTTAGGATTATAGGTTAAGCATTTCTCTGCAAGATTAGCCAATCTTTGGGATATTTTTATCAACTCATTCTGCTACAGTAGTTGTCAAACTTTGTTGTAATGTGACAAAATGTGCAACAGGTTGAGGTGCTTGGATTACTTTTACAAGACACTGAATAATTTGCTAATACAAATGAATTACTCTTAAAAAAGCTGTAATGTTTGTCTGGAGGCTAAAACTATGGAGTGAATTTTATTCCTTCATTGTTGCGAGCAAACGGCATCTTTTAAGGGAAATATGAGAGCAAAAACACAAAAATATTTTGTAGATTGAAATAAAACGAAATCTACTCCGGGAATAATTTAAAAACTTGCTCTGAGAGTAACTTTGCTTTTTTTCAATAGTTTTTTTTTCTTTTTTATAATCAAATAAAATTATTTTTAAATGTATTCTTCAAATTATTATTATTATTTTTTTTTTTTTTGAATTTTTGTTTTTTTACAGATTCTATATTTTCAACTTTTTTTTCCCCTTAATTTTTATTTTTTAGTTCAGAAATTAAACATATAAAATTTAGGTTTTAAAAAAAATTACATTTGAATACAATTTTAAATAGAATAAAACATTTCAAATAAATTTGAAACAAGTAAAAGAGTAAAGTTACTCTCAAATCCTTTTTGGACTCCTTTTTTATTTCAGAGGATAAAATATTTGTTTTCAAATTTCCATGTGCAAAACATTCCCTTTGCTTGCAACAATAATGAATCAAAATGAACTCCATACAATCCCTGCTACGCTTAAAGCAGCATCTGCATTTTATGGCTTTTAAAAAATCACACAAAAGAAGCTACATTCAATTTACAGCTTTTTTTTCTTTACATTTCTGTGAAACCCTAGTTAAAAAATGATTTCCAGAACTACTAAATCTCTTTCACTACAGTAAATCTCTATCATAGGTTTACCCTGTATATAATACGTCTGGTTTGTGCTTATAGTTCATCTACATTCAGTGTATTGGAGTCAGTTAAGCTTTTGTTTTAAAGAGTAATGGTGAATTAACCCTCGCTGTCCTATAAGAGGCAGGCTTTCCTAAAACCCTCTAGCAAACAGCATATAAGGCTTTCATCTTTATAGGGGACAGTCATGTTGGCTTTCAGGTCAGCTCAGGTTCCAGACCTCTCCTTGACCTCAGCCCATATAAAGTAGGAACATTTAACAGTATAAGTTAAGCTTCTCTTCCACTCGAAGATGTTTCTCCCTTCTTTTCTGCTGTCATCTAAAGTTCTTAGTTTTTCTCTTTTTTTATTCTTTACTTTCCTGTGCTCGAATTCTGCTGCCTGCTGTATTTTTGTGCGATCCCATACGGAACGTGTGCAGCCACCGTGCCCATTTCTGCCGCTCCCTCCACGTGAAACATCTGATCGTCGAAGTAGATGTGTGGCCTGATCTTCTCCAGCATGGGGCCCTTGGGGGCGCCGGCGAGGAACAGCGCCTCATCAATCTCTAGCCCCCAGGCCCTGAGCGTCTTCAGCGCTCGGATCCCTGAGCTCGCCGCGCTGCGAGCCGTGACCAAGTATGTGCGGATGGGGCAGTCCAGGCGTTGGCCTTTGGCATAAAATTTCTTCTGGAGCTTCCCTAGAGCCTCCAGGAAGCCCTTCAGGGGGCCCTGCAGAGCGGGAGAGGAAATGACAACTTTATCTCATGAAAATAATTCATTTGTTCTAACATGTGGCTCAAAGACACTGGCTAATGGCTAATCTATGGAATTACCACATGTCAATTAAACTTAGTTTTCCCTGAAAGCATTAAGTATATTGCTCACTTTAAATAATACATTCAAAGATTAAGGTTTCCATCAAATTGTCTTTAAGGGACTTTATACAATGCTCTAGGTGTATACTCGATTCTGATTGGCTGGATAGTTGCCCTCATCGTTGAGCAATTATCTTGTACATGGCTGAGAGGTGCAAACACCCTGCAAATATATGTATATATGAAATATAAGAGGTATATACACGACAAATAAATCGATACACTAAAACAAGAAGCACACGCAAAAGACAAATGCAGCGTGTAATTTGCATGTACAAAGATTATGTTGTGCATGCAACATATGTGCCTGCTGCATGTGATCTACAAAGATTGATCCACAAACTTTAGGACGTTCAAGCCAGTTTGATTCTGCCTGTTAAAATGAGATAATTGCAAGTGATTTTCCACCTGACTTTCAGAAGTGCTTAAAAAAAAAAAAAAAAAAAAAATGAAGAAGCCCATTTGTTTTTACTTGTAATACTTGTTTTTTGCCACTAGACTATAATCCACAAACTTTAGGACGTTCAAGCCAGTTTGATTCTGCCTGTTAAAATGAGATAATTGCAAGTGATTTTCCACCTGACTTTCAGAAGTGCTTA